GACATCCTTTATCAAAAAGACAGACAATCCTTATCCCCCGACGATTCCAGATTATGGATCCCAGGAGGCTCCCCTGACGCTGGTATTTTATCGCCGGCATCAGAGCGGCGGCTGTTTATTTTCCGAGTCTCCGCGTCGTTTTCAAGGTGTTGCCGGCAGGGCCGGGGCTGACAGTGACACGTGTTATTGTCACATTGCGAGATCTGAAAGAAAACGCCAGATAAATAAACACCGGCGTTTCCTTGGATCTCTTTGTGCTGTCGTGGGCACCGGAGGCCCTGGCATTTGTTAATCCACGGATCTGCTGTGTGAGGAGGCCCTTCCCCCTTTCGTCTCATGGAGCGGGGGAGGGGGCGGGGGAGGCACAGGCTGGCAGCCGGGGATGGACGGGACAGCCACTTAATCCCATTCCCAGCCTGGGTGATGGACAGGGGGTGGAGGTGGCCCCTGGATGAGGCTCCGAGCGCGGGGGTGCGGGACCAGCTTCTCCATCCTCGCACGGGCCCGGGTCATCGTCCGGGGGGTAGAGAATCCTGCGGCTGGACTCGGGTTCAGGTGACGTGGGTGCTTCACCTCCCAGCCTGTGCTGCTGCACCTGCACGGCAGGAGCCTGGGACCTTCCTCCCTCCGTCCTGGGTGGCGGTGAGGACCTACGCATGAGGGAAGCGACCACCTCCTGGGCCCTCATCTTCCCCCAGACACTGGCTGCTCCTTCCTCCCGCCCCGTCCTCTCCTCTCCTCTCCTCTCCTCCCTTCTCCTCCGGATCACACCTCCCTCTGCCCTTTGCCCTCTTTAGACCTGTGTATCTGAGAACAGGGGTGACATCAGCAAACTATGGCCCGTGGGCCTCGTCTGGCCCGCCGCCTGGTTTGGGAAATGCAGTTTTACTGGAACACCGTCATGCTCATTCATTTACATACAATCTGTGGCTGCTCTCAGGCTAGAGTCTCAGAGCTGAGTCATGGCAACAGAGACCCTATGGCCCACGAAGGCTAAAACCTGTACACCCCTGTCCTCGATGTTCTCCCAGGGGTAAACGTCTGCTCATCCTTGAAGACCCCAACCTGAACTGTTGATCTGCTTGGCACCCCAATGCCATGCTGATCGGCTTTACGTGTAAAGAGGTTCCCATGATTGGACACAGTATGAGACATCCCAAGTCAAACAGGCTTCTTTACTCACTGCAGGACTTATCAGGGCATTTAATGCCCGCGTGTGCATTGAGAATCTCCAAGAGGAGAAGGTGGGCTGCAGAACATCTCAAGTGTGTTTCTCTACCGGGCCACTGAGTGCTGAAGCGCTTGCCCCGTCTTCTCTAATTGCTCTCTCTCTCTCTCTCTCTCTCTCTCTCTCGGTGATGTCATCTGCTACCATAGCTTTAGAATACATTACAGTTTGACCTGAAATGTTCATTTCAAGCCCAGATCTCTTCCCTGGACTCTAGACACTAACCCCCCCCCCCCCCCACACACACACACATACACACATTTACGCTACAATTGTCTAACTACAACCTCAAACTTAAAAACTTAAAATGCCCCAAATGGACCTGCTCCTCTCCCATCATGATCCTTCTTTGGCAGTGGCAACGCTGCTTACTAGTTGCTTGGGTCAAAAACCTACTGACCAGCTAAGACCACACCTCTGCACAGCAGACAGAGTGATCTTTCTGAAACTCAGATCCAATCACATCTTTCCTGGGCTTAACGCATTTTAAGGAGAACATTTCTGTTCCAACCAGAACAAAATACTAATTTATTGAATGGCTTTCCAGGCCCCAAATCATCAAGTTTTCACCTGACTCTTACCTCTGGCCTAGTCTGTCCTCAAATTCAGCAACCCCAGGGCCTTTGCACATGCTAGCCTTTCATCTTAGAATGATCACCATCATCCCCTCTCCCTCCTTATCTTTTCAAGGCCTCCTCCAACTCTGCATTGTCATTTCGGTCTCAACTTCATAGACCCTCAGAAGGCCCTGGCTGACCAACCCCCAAAATACCCAATTTCTTTGTAACAGATTATTCTAGTTCATCATCTTCATAGCTCTAATTTGAACCCCAAATTATCTCAGGTATCTATTGTTTTTATGCTTATTTTCTGTCTCCTACTGAGTTCAGGCTTCATGAGGGGTAGGGCCGGGTCTGTGTTTCCTTTCCCACCAGCAGAGATCCAGAGCCTAAAACAGTGCCAGGCACAGAGTGGCCGCGGGGCAATAACCATTTATTGACAGTCTGGCCCTAGCCTCCCTAACCACAGAGCACCCTGAGTACTAGCATTTCACGTTATTGTTATAACAACACCTGACGTTCATGGAGGGCTACTGGCCAGGCACCATGCCCAATGCCTTTCATTCGTTAGCTCATGCCCTTCTTCCAATGAACAATCGGGGCCCAGGAGCAGGGGCTATTTTTATTCCCATTTCACAGGCGAGGAAACTGAGGCACTGAGAGACTACGAGCTGGCCTGAGTTTGTAATCTGGTAAGTGGCAGGGCCTATGTGCAGGATCTGACCTCAGATTCCCCGACTGTGGGCAGTGCTGGGGCTGCGGCTGCGGCTGCTACAGCATGAAGCTTGGCACACACAAGGCTGACAGGGGCCCCGCTAGCTTCGTGACCAGGCTCATCTTCGACCAGGTCGTCTGACGTGAGTAGGGGCTCCACTAGCTCACATGCATGTTCCTCAGAATGTTACTAAGCCGGGTCAAAAACCTTTTTCTCGCCCGGCTGCCACGGCTCAGTGGTTGAGCGTCAACCTATGAACCAGGAGGTCACAGTTCAATTCCCGGTCAGGGCACTTGCCCAGGTTGCAGGCTCGAGCCCCAGTGGGGGAGGGAGCAGATCAATGACTCTCTCTCAGCATTGACGTTTCTATCTCTCTCTCCCTCTCCCTTCCTCTCTGAAATTAATAAAAATATATTTTAAAAAATAATAAAAAATATTTTTAAAAATTTAAATGGATGACTCAATTTAAGTGAAACATCCGTTTAGAACACACATTGACCCTGATAGTCTCATCAGGATCAACCAACCGTGCTTTCAGCCTCACCTCCTCTCATAAGAAGTGGTTCTACCCTACCTATGATTAAATTGCTAATAGTTGTAAAGCACACACAACGGGAAAACCGGCCCATCATATGCGCTTTATACATTTTTTTTTAAATTAAATGCATAGATCTGTGTAGCAGGAGAGCTTCTCCCTGACTGCAGACGTGAGCAAGACCACTGGCCGCCTGTGCCTGCCAACCTCTGAAGCACGCTCAGTGAGTGCAGCTGGCACACCTGCCCGGCATTCAGTAACATAGCATTACAGTCCGCCCGCCCCTCAAAGCCAGCCCGGCCTTCACAGCCGCGGTAACACCTGCCGATCTCCCCTTCAGCAGAGAGAGTTCTCGAGGACTAACCCAAAGCTCCAAGCCCCTGGCAGGCGGCGGCGGTTATCTCTCAGGCATGTGCCAGCATTGCTTTGCATAAGGTTGCCTGCGCGTAGCATTTGCATACAAAAGCCAACACCATGGTGTCTATTTAAATCTTGAGGTTCCTCCCGATGATGGGGAGCTTTGATTTATGGCAAACGGTCCTGCCTTTCGGTTACGGTAGTGACTCATCAAGTTGTCTTTGAAAACGAATTCAGGTGAAACATCCGTTTGAAACACACACGGGCCACGTGACCCGGCAAGTCCATTCCTAGGTGCTTCCCCCAAGAGAACTGAACACCTATGTCCGCGTTTATTATATGCAAAAGCTCATCGTGGCCTTAATCACCGTAGCCCCAGCATCGGAGACAACCCGAACGTCCGTCGGCGGGCGCATAGAGGAAGCCATGCATGGTGGCATTGCCCTACAGCGAAGAGCTTCCTCAGTAACAAAAAGGAACAGAATATCGAGGCACAAGAAGCATTGCGTTAAGCGAGAGAAGTCAGAAACGCGAGACTGCGTGCTTGATGGCTCTATGTGTGTGACTTCCTTAGAAAAGGCAAATTGTAGGGATGGTGAGCAGGGTGCTGGAGCCCTGGGATTGGATAAGGGGGCGGGGGGAGCGGGGAAGGGCCCAAAGCACTTGTGGAGGCAGATGGAAGAGGTCCATGTCTGATGGTACAGGTGGTTACACGGGTATATGCGTTTGCTAAGACCCGTGGGAATGGATCCTTAACGTGGGTGCGTGTTCTTGCATGTGAAGAAGAGATTAAAGGGAAAATAGGTAAGTCACAAAGTAGGGATGTGTGGCAAGGCCAACCTTGAGAAGGTGGCTGAGGTTTAAGAACCGCTGTCCTCCTGGTTGCCCTTTAGAAAGTGCCTTGGGCGTCGCCGTCCGTCTCCACGCAGCTGTGGCCGTCACCCTGTCCACCTTTCCCGTGTGGATTCTAGATTTTGTGCTGTGCTTCCGGCCTTCCCCGCCCCATGGTTATGAAACTGTGGTCCCATATCATTCCCCAAGGCTCCTGTCATATTTAGAAACGTGACTGTCTACAATTATGTTTCATTGTGGCTAAAAGGCACAGAGCATACCATTTCCTGTCTCACCCACGTGTGAGGGAGCTGAGGGTGCAGGGTCTCACTCAGGTGCGGGTGAGAAGGCCCGTTCCATGATCGCTGGTTGGCAGGGCTGGGGTCATGAGGAGGTCGCCCCCCCCCCCACGAGGATTTGGGGGGTGGGAGCTTAGGAGCTGGAGGGTAGCTGGATTTCTCTGCCTGCGGTGGAACTTCGCCAGGACCCAGCTGGTTGTCAGGCGCACGTCGAGATAAGGCAAGTTCATCGTGGCTCCCCTCCAAGGGCATTTGGTCCTGACACGGAAAGCGGGGTCCTTTCGAAGTTCCATCCGAGGGTCTCTGTATTTCAGGGGAGTGTGGTGACGCCACGGGGCCAGCTCTCCGAGGTTGTGCCAGGACACGGGAGGCGCAGCGCCCGGGCCCAGCAGGGCAGGGCAGGGCAGGGCAGGGCGGACTGGCAGGGGTGTGGGCGCGGACTTCCCATGACTCTTTGCAAGGTGGTGCGAGGCCCTTGGCCTGGTGTCCCACGGCACCTGGACACTTGAGACTGCTGTCTCGGCCAGAGGTGTGGGCAGAGTGGGACGGGCTGGCGTTTCCATGAATCTCTTGCCATCGGAGGTCAGGTGAGTCAGGCCCCGCCCACCAACCAGCTCCCTCTAGGTTTCTGGTAGGAGGCCAGGGAGACAAGCTGGGGAGCTGGTTGGGAAACAATGGCACCCTCTTCCCCACCCCCGGTGCCTCCCTGCACTTGGTACAGGGCCCGGGGGGCACAGCTGGTTACCAGGGCAGCACAGGAGGAGCAGGCTGGGATGGTGGGCACAGCAGGCCAGCTCCCGGGGGAGTCCGCAGGTCGGCAGAGTGATAGAGCCAGCCGGGAGTTCAGTGTTTCCCAAGCTACAAGCATTTGCACCCCACCTTCCCAGGTGTCCCGTGTCCCCCACTCCCTGCACATCACATATCTCTCTCTCACACACACACACACACACACACACACACACACACACACACACACATTCAAACCGCGTTTTAAACGCCAGTCAGTGTGGCATTGATGTGAACAGTAATGTCTGCGATACAGTAACAGCAAGTATCAGAGCTCAGAGGATGCTTCGGGCGGGCCAGGCACAGCGGGCAGCGCTTTCGATTTGTCAATATCAACCCCCTGAGGGTGGTTCTCCACTGGGTTATTTGCACCCATTTAACAGATGGGGAAACCGAGGCACAAGTGGATGGCGCCACCTGCCCAAGGTCACGCTGATTCAAACCCGGGCCGTCTGACCCCGAAACAGGCCGCCTCTCAGATCACAGGTCAAGTAGGAGTGAGGCTGAATTTTCCTCCCCCAAGTCCCACTTATAAATCACAAATAATACAGACGGAAGTAGGACACACCCATTCATGTGCCCCCCTGGTTCTGTCCGCAGATCCCCAGTGTGTGGGCACCCACTTGGTGTGGATCTGCCCACAAGGGCTGGGGTACACCCCGTCTGTGGGGGAGCTGAGACAATGTTCCCTGTGGGGGTGGGGGGAGAAGAGGCCAGCCAGACCCCCAACCCCCGGCACACCCTGCCCCGGGGCTGTCAGCTCCACATATGTTCACACCCAGCTGTCCCCCGCCCCCAGCACCCACGGGGATTTGGTGTGAGTGTGGTGGGTAGGGAGGTAGGAGGAGAGCAAAGTCCAGCATTCTGAGGCCCATTAGCCACGGAGACCCCGCAGACAGAACCCAGCAAGTTCCTTCCGCCCCGTAGGGTGCGAAGCCAGCACAAGGGGCCACGTCACTCCCCTGTCCTCTGTTCTGCACCAGGCGCCCGGCCGTGCTGCTCCCGAGGGCTCTCCCTCACGTCTGCGGGGAGAATGCTGAAGGCCAGGCTGCCCGGCTCCGGATCCACAGCAGAGCCGAATGGGAGAGTGTGACCGACCCTCAGCACCAGCCGTGGGTACAGCCTGTTGTGTGGCTTTAGCTGGAAGTCACAGCGTGGCCCGTGGCTCACGGTCGCCTCCGGGCACCTCCTGGGAGAGCTGGCGGCCCTTGGGAAGCCCTGGGGCACGTCCCAGTCTCCTCCCCGGCCCAGCCTTGCTCCAGCCCTGGTTAGAGTGACATTGGAGAACTGGTTTCACCTTCTCCTGGAAGGAACAGGTCAAATGGGGCAGGACGGGCCTGGCCTCTGGGCCTGGACCCACGGGGACCTGTCCGACAGGCTGGGTAGCTGGGCCTGTGGCCATGAAGCTGGGACTCTGAGGCCTCCTCTGGAAAAGCACCCCCTTCCGCCCCCTACCCCAGCTGCACGTGGTTGAGCAGGTGGCCTTCTGAGCAGGTAGCTCTGGGTTCCGTTCCTGCTGCTGCTCCTAACCAGTGGGTGGCCTGGGCTAGTCGATCCGCCTCCCTAAAGGCCGGAGTCCTCATTCATAAAATGGGAATAATCATTCCCACTGCCCGGCCGGCGTGGCTCAGTGGTTGAGCCTCGACCTATGAACCAGGAGGTCACGGTTTGATTCCCGATCAGGGCACATGCCTGGGTTGCAGGCTCGATCCCCAGTGTGGGGCGTGCAGGAGGCAGCCAATCTATGAGTCTCTCTCATCGTTGATGTTTCTCTCTCTTTTAATTTAATACAAATTTTAAAAAATAGTTCGTACTTTGCTGCGTCGCCAGGAGAATGCGATGAGTTAAGGAATGACCAGGGCTGGGCCCCTTGGATGTGCCCAGGACGTGTGGGGTGAGGGACAGGTAGGCCTGCGGTGCCTGTTGGCCGTGTGTTTACTTGATTTCATTCCAACCCTCCTGAAACGCCTGCCCTGGGCCCGGCTCTGTTACCTGGAACTCAGGGGCAACGGAGGTAAATGCAGTCCCAGCCCCGTGGACCCACATGGCACCTACCCCTGGGTCTGGAGTGTTTGCCATTTAATCTCTTAAAGACCAGCCCTTCTCCACGTTCGGGAGAGAGTTGGTAAAGCCTGCACAAATCAGAGAAATAGCTCGGCCGGTGTAGCGCAGTGGTTGAGCATCGACTTATGAACCAGGAGGTCTCGGTTCCATTCCTGGTCGGGGCACATTCCCTGGGTTGTGAACTCGACCCCCCAGGAGGGGGCGTCGTGCAGGAGGCAGCCGATCAACCATTCTCTCTCAGCATGGGTGTTTCTGTCTCTCCCTCCCTCTCCCTTCCTCTCTGAAATGAATGACAATATATATATATATTTTTTAAAAACTCAGGCACATGCCCAGATGGACAAGGCACCCAACAAGGGCAGGCCAGGACCCCCAGCCGCTCTGGAAAAGGCAGGGGTGCCCTCAGCCATGTCTGCTTATCCTGCGTCCTCTTTCCCAGCGGCCGCGGGCGCCCGGGAGCCGGCGTGAAGTGCTTGCTTTAAAAGCCTAATTATTTACACTGACAGTATTTACTTTTAACTCCCGTGGCTGAGTCAATATCATTTTTCCTCCTCTCCTCGGGGCCTTGGCTGGGAAAGCCGAGAGCTTTACGAAACCCACCTGCCTGCACCTCTCGATCCCATTGAGGGCCTTTGAAATTTCACCTGCTCGGGAACTGGCTTACGGAGGCCGTGAGGGTCGAGGAGAGGCCGGGGTGGAGGCCTCTGTGTTTGCCGAGGCCTGACTCTGACGCCTGTCTCTTATCTGGGCCCAGCCTTCCGCCTTACAGGATTTTAGACCAGCAAGCGCTGTGCCGTTTTCCAAGTCCTGCCCAGCGATGACCTGAGGCACTGCCCCAACCCCGGTGGGCAGGTGGGTGGGAATCTTCCCCAAACCCTTCCCCAAAGCCGTGACCACCGGGGAGTTTCTGAACAGACTGTGACTACGAGAACCAGCCCTCCTATCTGTCCTCCCGATCGCCGCCCCGGCGAGTCTTTCGGGCTACACCCCGCCACTGGGCACCCTGTACCCAGGAGGGAGCCCCCCGGGCACTGGGCTCAGTCCTGGCTGCCGTGCGGTGCCAGCAGATGAGAGCGATAACACCTCCTCCGTTTGGCAACCGTGGAGCTGATGGAAAGGGGAGATTAGGTGTGGGGCAACCTTGAACCGGCTTCCCGGACACCAGCGAGGCCAACCGGCCCATGTTTCTTGTTGGACAACCTGTGTCTCCATTCGTGGCCTTGTCATCGGCACGTTCACGGCGCTGTCTGCAGTGGCAGTGCCCTGGCTGCCCCTGGCCGTCTTAGGAACAATGGTCTGCAAGTAGCTTCCAATCGCTGGGTGGTGATCCGGTCTTTGGGAACCTTGGGGAGGGGGCCTTTCCGACTCTAGGAGCCTTCCCTGGGTCTCAAACCCAGGCTGGAATGGAGGGAGCCCGCTGTTCCTGCCCATAACCGTGGGCTCAGCAAACTGGTTTGCCTCTTCACTCTCCTCTTTCTCTTTCCCGCCCCAACTAGAGCTTCCCAAAGCCTCAGTCCTTGTCTGGCCAGTTCATCTCTGGGTCCCCACAGCCCAGCATGTTCTCGGAGGGTGGAAATGCTGAATGAATGAATGAATGAATGAATGAATGCAGAGGATTGAATGCAGCCCAGCACCCAGGCCCCGGGGGACTGACAGTTCATTTCGCAAGTTTACATTTTGTCCTTCCCACAGCTGGCTCCTCCCCAGGCCTGAGGGCAAGTTGCAATAGATAAGCTGGAAAGGAACTGACCGGTTTGATCCCAAGGTGTGGGTACAGCTGTTGCCATGGGGGGGAGGGGGGGCGGCTGAGGCAACGAGTGCTGGTAGATGTAGATGCTTCCAGAAAGTTCTGTTAAGGCTTGGTATATGGGTGCCCTGAACGCAGGTCTACAGAACCGTGGGGGCAGCTTGCAGGTGGGAGGGGAGGGGGGCAGCACCGTCAGGGTGGGTCCTAGGGCCAGGGGATGGTCTTTAGGGCAGCGATTTCCAACTGGTGTGCCGTGAGCATTTTGAAATCATGCAGTGCCTGACCATCCAGTCTGGGGAACGACCTCTTTTCCCTTCGCTTATCCAAAAAAAAAAAAAAAAAAGACAACAGCCAACACAGCAATAGCCGTCCAGTGTGAATGAATCAAAATCCCTATTTCTTTTTTTTTTTGTCAGATTGGCAAAAAATAGTTTTTGGTGTGCCACAGAGTTTTAGGAATTAGTCCTTGTGTGCCATGAGATGAAATGGATTGAAAATCGCTGCTTTTGGGTCATGTCAAAGGGTCCGCCAGCGTGTGTTCCAAACACTAGGAGGGAGGGGTGGGGAGTAAATACAACAGGTCTATATTTAAGTGCATATCTATATATACCTTTAGCAATTGTTTTTTATTTTATTATTATTATTTAAATATATTTTTATTGATTTCAAAGAGGAAGGGTGAGGGAGAGAGGATTTAGAAACATCAATGATGAGAGAGAATCATGGATCGGCTGCCTCCTGCACACCTCCCACTGGGGATTGAGCCTGCAACCTGGGCATGTGCCCTTGACCAGAATCGAACCCGGGACCCTTCAGTCTGCAGGCCGATGCTCTATCCGCTGAGCCAAACCGGCCAGGGCAGCAATGGTTTTTTAAAATATAGATGACTGCTATGTTGTCCCCCCCCCCCCCCCCCCTCAATGCATATGTTGAAATCCCTGCTCCCAGTGTGATGGTATTAGAAGGTGGGGCTTTGGGGGGGTGCACCGG